GGGAAGACAAATATGGTCACAGAAAATTACAATGAAGACAAATTTGGTCACAGTTAGTCACTAATAACACGTGCATGGTCACAAACTATAACATATAGGGCCTGTTCGGTACAACTTAAAATCCAATTAAAATTGAAAATATGGTCGTTATTGGGTCCCACTCGTCTAATAAAAGTCAACAATAATGACTAATTTTTCAATTTTAATCCAATCTTAATCTATACCGAACACGCCCATAATATTAAACATGGTCACAAATAATAACATTTTACACAGAATTGGGCACAAATAGTCATTGTGAGACAGAACTTAGATACATACAGCACAAAAACACATAGTCAATAGGTCACTGATTCACAGTCTTATGAAATACAAAAAATTGTTCAAAAATTAAGAATTATGAAATATAGAAATCTATTCAACATAAAAATGCACCAAATTAAATGATTAATCGGCTAAAAAACTACTGCTTCTTATTCCCCCTAAAAAATGGCAACAAAACAATATGTGATTTGTCCATCAACAATATAGTCAAAGCCCCTATCATTATTTCCAATCAACCTTCATCACCTATTACCAATATTATTACCATTAATGCAGCATGGATACCAACTACCACTAAAACTAACTGGTGCAATTTTTTCATTCTAAAGGGCCAATTTCTTGCACTCATGTATCGTGTATAAATAGTAAATACCAATTTGTTGGCTATCTTGATTATCGTTTGGACACAGAACAACACCTCACCACGACCACTAACAATCAAACCTCCATCAACCCACCACAATCACAACCCAACAAAAAACCCCAAAGTCGTCGCGAAGAGAGAATAGATTGTGTCCATCTTGCAACCTAAAACCAAAACCACCATCACCACCATTTTTGGCCGCCAATAGCAATTGACGGAACTGCCCCAGTTGAGACTTCGGATATCGAATTTCGAGGCAATTGAACAGCAATTGGATCAATTAAATGTGTACCCACTATCTTCTGAGTATGAATTTTATTTTCTCCCATGTGAATTTGTTGATTGAACAATGTAGGAACTATCAATTGAATGGCAGACAATTGCCTTTTTCACGGGCCGCAAGCTCCAAAACATGGTCGGCTTTCTGATTCATTGGGTCTTCGTCTTTCCCTTCCTATGCTGCACGCAATTTCTTCCGAAGTGGTGTTTCCCTCTGCCTACTCCACCTCTTCTTCGTTGTCACTGGAGAGATTTGAGAGTGGAAACTTTGATTAGCTTGATGTATTGGACAAAGAGCATAGAGAGAGAGAGAGAGAGAGAGAGAGAGATATTCATTGGAATTTTATTGATTTGGTGGGGTAGGTACGTTTAGGGTGGGATGCTATTAATTGGTTGGGATAATAATTTCAATTAATTATATATTATTAATTAGAATTAACACCTGATTTTTGAAATAATATTACAAGTTTGTTAGTTTTGAAATTTATTTCTTAAATGCATGAGTTATGTATTGTTCCCTAAAATAAAAGATTCGGGCATGTTAAAAGAATTCATAGCGAGACAATGCAAGGCGAAGAATTTTGGCATCCTATTCGAGGTAGATACTAAGAATTTAGGTTTTCTTCACGTGCAATGAGTACCAAATCGTTAATTGCCTTGTTATAGCACTGTCAAGTTTCAATGTTTCATTCACTAACAATCAAACCTCCATCAACCCACCACAATCACAACCCAAAAAAAAAACCCCAAAGTCGTCGCCGCCGCCACCTCAAATCCACGGAGAAGAGAGAACATATTGTGTCCATCTTGCAACCCAAAACCACAACCACCATCACCACCATTTTTGGCTGCCAATAGCAATTGACGGAATTGCCCTAGTTGCGACTTCGGATATCGAATTTCGAGGCAATTGAACAGCAATTAGATCAATTAAATGTGTACCCACTATCTTTTGAGTATGAATTTTATTTTCTCCCATGTGAATTTGTTGATTGAACAATGTAGGAACCATCAATTGAATGGCAGATGATTGCCTTTTTCACGGGCCGCAAGCTCCAAAACACGGTCGGCTTCCCGATTCATCGGGTCTTCGTCTTTCCCTTCCTCCGCTGCACGCAATTTCTTCCGAAATGGTGTTTCCCTCTGCCTACTCCACCTCCTCTTCGTTGTCACTGGAGAGATTTGAGAGTGGAAACTTTGATCAGCTTGATGTATTGGACAAAGAGCATAGAGAGAGAGAGAGAGTGGAGAGATAATCATTGGAATTTTATTGATATGGTGGTGTGGGTAAGTTTAGGGTGGGATGGGTAGATGTATTGGACAAAGAGCATAGTGGTCATGGCGGTAATAATTGAATGGGTGGGTACGTTTAGGGTGGGATGGGTGGATGTATTGGACAAAGAGCATAGTGGTCATGGCGGTAATAATTTTTTTGGTTGTTGGATGGGTGGTTGTAGTTTCCAAGTTGGTGGTGTTGGGGTTTTGGGATGGCGGTGAGGTGGTGGTGGCATTGACAGAGGCAGTCAGATTTTGTTGGTTTTTGAGTTATTTTTTTTGTTAGAGGTGGTGGACTTTGGTGCTGGTAAGGTGGTGTGGTGGTGGATCTAGCGCTATTGGCGACGGTGGGGGTGGTGGTTGCAAACGATTGTGGTGTAAGTGGTGGCGGCAGCGTCGATCGAGAGGGATCAAGAGTGTTTGTGACCAATAAATTGGATAATTTGTAATCAATATATAATATGCGACCTAAAAAATGTGATAATGACTCACAATTCATTAAGTTGTGACCGAAAAATAATTTGTGATCAATTAATTTGATAATTTGTGATCATTAAATAAATTATGACTTATAAATTTTTTGATTTGTGACCGATAAATGAATCGTGACCTATGAACTTTTTGATTTTGTGATCGATGAATAAATTTTGACCTATAAAATTTTGGATTTGTGACAAGAAAAAAATATAACCAATTAATTCTATAATTTGTGACCAAATTATATGGAATTGTGACCTTAATATATTAAATAATTGATAAAATATTTTTAATTAATTATTTCATAAATAAGATTTAATACTATCTAATTTTTGAAGTTTTAAACCTTATTTCCTAATTTTGAAATGGGTCATAGAACCAAAAGGAATTTCGGTTTCCCTCTTAGATATGAAATTTTCTTTTCTTAAATTTCAAATTATTAAATAGAGGTATACACCAGGTCAATATTTTTTTTGTCTAAGCGAGTCGGGGTAACCCCTTGAAAAAGTGTGAAGCCTAACACGGTTGATCGTGCTCGATTGGGCAGGGCACTAGGCTCAATACCTCCTAACACCATTTTTTTCCTTGCTTTTTCATTTATTTCTAAAAAACAAAAAGATAAAACAAGGGCATTGTGGGTATGAAACTTAATGAGCTCTGCTTGGGCCCAACACTTTGTGCGCTAGGCCACCTTAGGACTGCTTGGCTTAGACCAAGTTTACACTTTACCATGACCAGTCTGTATCAAAATGAATTGTGACCAAGTTTACACTTTACCATACGTTTAAGATTCACAATTTTTACTAACTCTTCAACTACATGTTTCATCGTCGTTTATCAAAACTCACTAAAACTTTTGTCAAAAGCTTCGTCAAATAACCCCTATATATACCATGTAGAATGCAGAAATATTAATAATTTTTCAACAAGTTGATTTGCTAATATTGCATGTAAAAATCGTGGGCCACTTGTTTTAAATGGTAAGTTAATTACAATGGTCTAGAAATAACTTTCCATTTTATTGATGATGCGAAAGTCAATTATTTAAAAAACTACCTACTTTTTCGAGGAAAATAATGAGATGGGGTACATTTACGGAGATCAAGGGTTTCTAGCCTAGTCACGATGTCTTCTACATATTTTTCCGTTAGGAATAGCACATTTTATATTCCATTGAGTAAGGGATTATCAATAAGAATAGATCAGAAGATTTACATTTTAGTACGAGTTTCTATTGTAAATTATAATTGTATCTCGAATAACATGATTGGACGTGCATTCATTTCAACATATTTATGTACTAAATTATCTCGTAAGAACAATCAATCAATTAATAATTTCCTTCCGAGTCCATCTCAAAATAGAGCAACATTCAAATTCCTGGGAAAAGGACCAACTAAAAAGGTTATAGTAGATAATGTTAAACCTAATATTAGTCGAGAGTTGGACATGAATTGATGGTTAGATGCCCAGTAAATTGCAAGGGGTAAAGAGTGAATTGGGCGTGAAAGTGAAAAGCCAACAACCTACCATCATCACCATTTTTAAGGCATCGGAAGGAGTGACAACGCCGAGCATAATGCCTATGGAGACTTGTCCTAAACATGTATATGTACACTTCAAGATACTTAGAATCCAAGGCTTTTGACAAATTGAAAACCTACCACCACCATCATTTTTAACTATGCTTTTATTTTTTTTCCTATTATTTTGTTTGGTTTTTTTCTTGTAATGGATCAGTTGATATGTGAATAGATATTAGGGTTGCACTGCACAAAAAGACTTCAAAACCGTAAATCGAACTGTACTCGTTGGTACAGGTCCACATGGACTCGCGATTTTTCTCTCAAACCGAACCAAATCGTTTTAAAATGATTGGTTTAAGTTTTGATTATCAAAAATCGCACAAAATCGAAACGAACCGAACCTTTTCAAAATGGTTCAGTTTTTGTCTATGAAATTTTTTGCTGTTAACCGAAGAATTGATTACAACCTCGATTTCCTTTGGCTGCTAAAGTAAGTATTTTTTATCTACCTATGCTGTTTGTGAAACAATGCTAATCATGCAATCGTTGTGATATCTGCTATGTATTTTATCCAAAAAAAAGAGAATAACTACTACACATCTTATGTGTCATTTGTGATATTGTAACTTGTCAAACAAATGTAAATATATTCATGAGTAACAAATTTCACATTGTTAAAATTGGCACTATGATTTTTTAACAATTTCTAACATTTGTTTCTCTTCTAAAAATGGTCTTTTTTAGGTCTTTACTTTTGTTGAGTACGGTGGTTTATGGAGTGGGAAAACATGACATCTATAGCTGTGAAGAATGCTTTAGGTAGAGAAAATACGCAATCGATAGGTAAATTACGGATTAAAATCGAATCAAACTGCAAATAATAGTTCGATTTGTTTTGGTTTGAAAAATGAAATGGTTTGGTTTAATTTGGAAAAAATTCAAATTGCATAAAATGGTTTCAGTCGAAAATATGACACAAACTGTTCAAATCGAACCTCATTTTTGTCCGAGTAAAGTATACAATTATTGAGTAATGTGAAATATTTTTAAGTGCACGTGGAATGTATTTTACTGATTGTTCAAATTTAGCCCCTGTTTGGTTCGGATTATAATTTGATTTTAATCTAAATCAAAATCAAAATCAAACAATCAATATTAATCACATCTTTCATGAGTTCCACAACTTTTTAACCACACAATTCAAAAATTTCTATCACAATCTATTAAAAATCAAATTTTAATCTCCACCAAACACCGTTTAAAAAATAAACGGCCGAGATCACTTGCGTCTAGTGAAAGTTCCCACTTCCCACATAGAATGGGGAGGCGGGGAGCTGGAAACCAATGCCTTGAGATTTTTCATTACATGTATGAATGCATCACCACTTTCATTTTCAGCCGTTGGATTTTCACTACGAATCAGAGAGCAATACTCTTTTATATTCAACGGCTATACGAATAAGAGATTCGTGCACCGTTTCACAGAGTAACATTGCCCCCTTCATTTTGCCGAACCCAAATTAAAATCCACAAGAGCAGAAATTCCAAACGACAACACAATCTGTTCCATTTTCTCTGTGTCTACTGTCTACAGTCTACTCCGCCGATATATCAACTGTCAGCCGTCGCTCCACGGCGGCTCCACCTCTCCAACTCATCGGGAAATCTCCCTGAGGCTCTCTAGAACTTCATTTTTGATCTCTTAACACTTTTCCTTCGCCGCGCTCAACTAACGGTTGTTTCCTATCTTTATGCATTACAGTCATTGTTTTATCGGTCATAATTAATCTTCAATATTTATAAATTGAAAATATTTGGATGCTAAAGTTTTTTTTTTGTATAGATACTTAAAAGGATATTTGTGGCGAGATTTTTTTACAGAAACATTTACTGCGTGCTTTTGATATTTTTCTTCTACTACTTTTGGAAGAATTTATTGGGTTTTTTCATCCGTTTAGATGAATAATAGTGTTAGACTTATGAGATTATGTGGATTATAGCTCAATAGTACATTTTATTCCCTTTATCCCCTTTTTGGGCAGTAATATTCAATTCAGTGCGTGAACTTTTGTTTTTAGGTTATTCTAGTTTCTTCATTTTCTAATAGTTTTCCAACAAGATAATCCTTCTCTTGATTGATGTACTATTGAAAATTTGACGCGCAAATTAAACAAAGAAGGGGCCGAACATGAATGGAATGAGTTATCGAATGTATTCCTTATTTTAACGTTTCGAAAAAGATAACAGTAAAAAAAAATAGTAGAAATCAAAACAAGAAAATGCTTCAATTCCCTTCCATCTGTCAACAAGGGAAGAATAAAAGTTCTTAGATTTTGGCAATGCAAAAAGAACTGAAAATGGAGATGTGAACCTTTTCTTTTCAATTCGAACATTTAAACATTTGAGTCTCAATTCTATGCTTGCAACCTCAGTAATTGTTTATCCAGGGCAACATTATGCTTAACTTTGCTTTTATATGTCTGTTATAGGGTTGCAACATGATCGGGTCTTTTATCACCTGGGGACTTGTGTATGCGCTATCTCCAGTTTCTGCTTCATAAATTTTTGAACTCCTGTTCATTGTTATTGCATGAGTTTCATATTCTATGCACTTGTTGTTGGTGCAGGATGGTTTTTGGTTATGCTTATCCTGCATACGAATGCTATAAAACTGTTGAAATGAATAAGCCTGACATCGAGCAACTTCGGTTTTGGTGCCAGTATTGGTATTTTTCGTGTTTGTATTTGTATGTGTATTTGTCCTTTGATAAGATTTGGCTGCTAGTTTTAGCAGTAAATTTATCTTCAACTTTTCAGGATCTTAGTTGCTATATTGACTGTTTGTGAGAGGATTGGTGACTTGTTTATTTCATGGTAAAACATTTTAAAGCCGATAACTTTGAAATTTTTTGATTAATCTTGATTTCTTTGTCTAACTTTGATGTTTCTTTGATTGTCTGTGAAGGGTTCCAATGTACGGTGAAGCTAAATTGGCCTTTTTTCTATACTTGTGGCTTCCAAAAACCAAGGTCAGCAATTACCTTTTGGAATGTGTATGAAGTTTTTGAGAGTTCCTTCGTCATATCTTGTGATTCTGTATTCTCTTCTCCTTCAATGATTTCAGGGAACAATATATGTTTACGACTCCTTCTTTAGACCCTATGTTGCAAAACACGAGACGGATATTGATCGTAATTTGTTAGAACTGAGAACAAGAGCTGGAGATATGGCAGTTTTGTACTGGCGAAAGATTGCAAGCTATGGCCAGACTAGAATATTTGATATTTTGCAATATATTGCTTCACAATCAACGCCTCCTCGTCGTGCTCAGGTATGTGGTCTCATCTCAAGCTTATAATTTTCTTGTCTCTGCATTTGGCCCTGCTGTATTCTACAATGATGTGTGTAGAATTCCTGGCAACTGGGTGCTTTGATTCTTTACTTATTTAAGAATTCAGGTGCCGTTTGGCTTAAGATGGGATAAAAGCGGATAATGATATGTCATACTCTTGATAAGTTTTGTAATTCTACATTTGGGATCAAATCACGTTTAGCCCCATATTGTCATAATCTAGCTTTATGGTGTGAATGACTTGTGAGTACAATGTGCCTATACCGTTTAAAGAAAATGCTTCTCCTTCCTTTCTCTAGTTTCATTCTTATTAATAAGAAGAGGGTGGCAAGACTTTTAGGGTCAAACATAAATTGGACTGCCAATCACAAAGCAATGAATTGGTATTCTTTTGTTTAAATTTGTTTTATTATTTAACTGAAATTTTTATGTCATAACATGTATATTTCAATGAATATACTGGACTGCCAATCACAAAGCAATGAATTGGTATTCTTTTGTTTAAATTTGTTTTATTATTTAACTGAAATTTTTATGTCATAACATGTATATTTCAATGAATATACTTTAGAAGAACTTACTTCCGATTACCAGTGACATCTATGGTATTTATGTTTCCTTATACTTGGTTTTTCTAATGTTATTTCATTAAAGAGTTCCAATCCAATCACTGCAACGGTTTACCAGCAGATGGCTTGGATTACGACAACCCTTGTCATGGCCGTTGAATCTGAAATCTTTTTCATTTTCATCTTCTTCGAAATTAATTTTGGGTCATCGAACCTTTTAAACTTGACTTTTATAATCTCTTTCAATTGCTTCTGAAATCATTTTCCCATTAAAATACTGCTTATTTTCACATTGCAGCAGCAACAGCAAGGACCTGGAGTCCGCCGATCTTCTGCCCCAACAAATCAGAGATCAACTGCAAAAACTCAGCCCCAAAGTGAACAGCCCCCCTCTCCCACATCTAGTACATCTTCAAGTCAGCACCAAGAAAATGTGGCAGAAGAGGATGGGCCTTCAGAATCTTTGAAAGCAGCTCTGCCTACCTCAGTCTTGAATGCACAGAAAATAACACCAGCACAAGCACAAGCCTATGTCCACGTTGAGAGCACCCAAACTTTGAGCGCTACTGAGGAGCAAGTGATGCCTACTGATTCAGTACCTCCCTCAGCAAATGAAACTGCTCAACCTCCTCCACAAGACGTGGTCATGGAAGAAGCTGTACGAGTGACACGGGCAAGGTCAAGGAGAGCAGCACGTGGTGGATCAAATTGTTGAATTGCAAGTGCCACTAGGTGAATAGATGCTTATTGGTATTAGTGTACATTACTCCTTTTGATTTGTGAGTGTCATTGCTTGTAGACGATTAAACAATTTCAAATATCTGACATCTCTTCTATAGCAGATTTCTGTCTTGTTTTTTTGACATCCACGAGGTTTTGATCAATCAAAAGGTTGTCACTACAGTGTTTTCCACAATGTTTGTTGAACTTGGCGTCTTTCACGAGTAATTATTATCATTGTCACAAGAAAATTCTTCAGATTTTAGTAAGGAAAATTTGAAGGATTCGTCACCAAGAACATTCCATAGTTTATTGTAAATTTTTATGCAAGATTTTTATCATTTAATGATATCACGTAAATTGTTGGAAACTTGTAGCCTATGGCTAACCTTGTAACAAAAGTTCTATGTGAGAGTCACATTAAACCAATGTTGTCGAAACCGGTCCGGCCCAGCCGGTAAAACCGGGAACCGGGCCAAAATTCGAACCAAATCATGTCCGGTTTCTGATTATTGACAAAACAGTTTAAAACCCTCCGAACCGGCCATTTCAACCGTAACCTGGTGAACCGGTTGGTTTTCACGATTTTTTTTTTTTTTTTAGATTAAAAATTTTTAACTTCATGAATGGTCTTTATAATTTACAATTCAAAGGCCCATGGAGAATTAATGGATGTCATGTTCATTTTATAGATGCACTTCTCTCCAAAGGTTTCATAGATTTCCAATGTGGGATTGTGCCTTTTATATATGCTCTTAACTCTAATAGTTTCATAAACTTCTAATGTGGGATAGTGGCATAACAAAAAAAATATTAAAATGCCCATCAAAATCATTTTCAAATGTATGTCTAATTGACTAATTTGATTTTGAATCACAACTAATTAAATTGTAATATTCACCTTGATTCCTTCATTTATTTAATTTTCAAATTTAACTTAAATTAACTTAAATTGCACTTGATTATTAATATATTAATGTTAGATATCATTTTCTATAAGTTTAAACTATTTTAGTATATTGATTTTTAATTTTTGAAGTATCGAGACTAATTGTAGGATAATGAATCTAATTAACAAAGATAAATTTACTTTGAATTATTAATATGAGAATTTTTAAAAAAATAATACTGCTTTCATAGTATTTTATTATTTTTGTATGTATTTATTGCATTCGGTTCGACCCCAGTTGAACCTTTTGACCTTTCACCTTTTCTGGGTCAATGATCGGATCGGTTTTCAAAACATTGCATTAAACTACCACATTAGAAAAGATTTTCTTTTTAAAGAAGTTTAATTCTAAACTTCTAGAGCATTTCTAATGGTGGTTTAAAATTGGTATTTCCAAAATCATTTTCGCATCTTCATTTACATCTCGGTGGATGGATCTAAATTCAAAATTTTTTCTAATGAAAAGATCTGAATCTACTTTTGCATCTTATCATTTTTTAGTCGAAAAATGAAATTTGCATTGCCTTTGCATCTCTACATTGGAGAGGTTTCGACCACTTTGAAAATCTAAATCACAATTTTATGCCTATGTTTGGTGGAGATTAAAATCAAATTTTTAGTAGAGCTTGATGAAAACTGATGAAATAAGTGATTTAAAAGTTGTGAATCCCATGAAATGTATGGATAAAACTAATAGTTGACTTTGATTTAAATTAAAATCTAAATTTTAATCCAAACCAAACAGTGACTATCTATTTTATACCAAGATTGGAGATGACCCATGTCTCAAGTTCATAATGAAATGACTTGTGTTTCTCATCTCTCTCTTTCTGTGTGTATAGACTCGTGTAACCAAAACTGCTCAAAAACTGTGCTTAATAGTTACATAACCCTCGTACGTGAAATTCCGTTTTTCTTCTTCAGTTTTAAATATGACATGTTTTTATGGTAACCGCGTGACATTATCTTTGTAATTTCGACAATAAGTCTTCCCTAATAAATTTCATAACTAATTATCGCCAGATAAAAAAATAAAAAAAAAAACTTTATCTCAAGGTTTATAATTTTGACTGCAATACAGTGTATTGAGCCCCTATTTGTCTACCATTAATCCAAAAAATTATTTGTTACATTAAGATTCTCCACCGGTGCATTCACCCAATAAAATATTCTACACACAAACCAATAAAGTTACTTTAATTTTCAACCTTGTGTTCTCCAAAAAATACTATTCATTATACTAATTTTCTCTCAATAATGGGAGACAAACAAGCTCTGAATAACGTAGAATTAGCTCGTGAAAAGTGCACGTTCTATTTCATATGCAACTAAATATTACACATTTATTGCAAGAACAATAAGACATTGGAAGATGCAATTTGGGCACTTTTCCTTTTGTTTCTCTTTGTCTCTATGGATGCCTTTCTTAGTGCTTACATATCAACAATGAGAACCCTCCAAAATAGGGAGTGATCCAAAATAACCACTCCATTAGAAAAAATGGAAATATCAACATTTGATGGTTTAGTTATTGAAGAAGACCGCTTTTACAATTATAATGAAAATTTGTAAGTCTTTTAACTTTTATTTTTGTATCTTTTCGTATTGCATAGTTTTCTTTTCGTTCTTTTGGAAAAGTGGTATGCGTTGATTGGGATCTTAATAGTTGAACGATACAACCCACTCTTGAGTCATCCCTTGTCGATCCATGGGATTGCAACTTGATTAAAAACATATCAAATCTAGTTGATTCGATACATTTGCACATCTTTAATAACCATAAAACTAAAACTCTAGACATTAAGGCTGTATTGAACCAACTCAATCTTAGTTTAGGAGTAGCATAAGTTTGATAATCGGTAGATAAGACAAAGGCACCATGTTTATTAATTACTAAGCATAGTTATAAAACTCGGCCGGTCGGTCGGACCAAAAAATCGGTAGGCAGGACCCTTGACCGGGTCGGACATATTAATTTGATAAAAATGTACTTGACTATGTCAAAATCGAGCTTTGATCGAGCCCGATTGATCAGTTTGATTGGATTTTGAAATTCTTTTACAAAATTTTTGGATCCAAGGGAATTGAACCTTGACCTCTAAGAAAAATAATAAGTTCATCACCATTTGAACAAAATGTGCTTTAGTGTTACTTGTATGCAATAGCTTATATTTATCTAATGAATCATTTATAATTTTTATAAAAATATTCTTTTAAAAAATTTTGGTCCAATCTTTTACTTTATTTTATAGACCTAAATAATTAGTGAAAAATAGATTAAAAATTTTAACTTTTCCCTTAAAAAAAATTTACATTTCATATTTTTTGTAGGTTTTTATGCAATGACCTGTCGGTTGAACAATCGGGTCGTCGGTTGAACCATTAACTCATTGACCCGCTGCATTGTCCGAGTTTGTGTCCAGATCGAATCTGACAACTATGTTACTAAGTACTATTTAATGGAATCATTAACAAAGTCCCCACTACTACTACATCTAGGATCCCTCCCCAGTTTCCATTAAAGAAAGAACTTCTCAAATCTTAATACCATCTCTCTCTCTCTCTCTCTTTCTCTCTCTTTCTCTCGTGTATGTATCTGTATCTCTCTCCGTTCTCTCTCTACATTTGTGTGTTTGTCCTATGAAAGTGAAAACTTCTTTAGCAGAACTTGTCTTCCATTTCATTGCACTCCTTTTCATGGCACTCCTCATGCCAATGGATAACCAAAAACAACCATCCAAACGCAAGAAAAAGCAGCCAAATCCTTCTTCTTCTTCTTCATGGGGCCAAATGAAGAACATTTTAAACTGCAAGCAAATCCTAGATTCGAAAATCCATGATCCTTCCTCGAAGAACCTCCCTACAATTTCCAAACTGGGAAGTTCGTGCAGTTCCATCTGCACATTCAGGGATGTTGTTCATGGAAACACTAGGGTTGTTCATAGAGCTGATAACTCACCGGAGGGAAGCAGTTTAGGCAAGNTTTTTTTTTTTTTTTTTTTTGTGTACTGTGTGAGAGAGAAAGACTTGACTGTCTGTAAAGACTAACTTATAGATTGTAGAAAAAGTTAATTTTTCCTTGGTCAATCTTGGAAATAAATAAATTGTTTTTTTTACTTACAGGTATCCATTGCCAAGGACAACTATATGTGCTTGCTCTGAATGTGGAGAGGTCTTCCCAAAAATTGAAAGCATGGAACATCATCAAATGGTTAAGCATGCAGGTACATCTCCTTTACTAATATTTTTACAAAATTTAATCATCTACTCGTAACACTTCTAGTACGCTATGATTGGTTCATACTACCGATCTAATTTTGTTACACGACTCTTTTCTTTAATTACGTTGAGTTGTGTTGAAGCTAATACATCAAAACGTGTAGTACTCATATTTCATATTTAAAGTTCTATGAATAATTACTTTTTTCTTTTTTAAATACAAAAGAAAAATAAATTGAAAATTTTGAAGTTCGAAATGGTTAATGCAGGCAAAACGGCATTATGCTTCAATTTAATATAAGATTGCATGTCTCTCTTTCTCACTTCATGAAATCTAGAAAAAAATATAGAACATTAAAAGGTATGTCTTTATCTGTCTAAGAACCAAATTATATCTATATCATTTTCTTGTAAATCACTCCTCAATATAATAAAGATTAATTTTGTAACTTCATTGATAACAGTTTGATGATTATTTTTGTTGAGAATTTTATAGTGTCTGAGCTGGCCCCGGATGATTCAAGCCGCAACATAGTTGAGATAATTTTCAAATCAAGTTGGCTCAAAAAGGACAATCCGATATGCAAGATTGAACGGATCCTAAAGGTTCACAATACACGACGTACGGTCCAAAGGTTTGAAGACTATAGGGATGCGGTCAAGATCCGTGCCAATAACAATGCCAAGAAAAATGCTAGGTGTGCTGCTGATGGGAATGAGTTGTTGAGGTTTTACTGCGCCACATTAAATTGTTCTCTTGGTGCACGTGGCTCTTCTAGCTTGTGTGGTTCTTTGCCGGGTTGTGGCGTCTGCACGATTATTAGACATGGCTTTCAAAGTAGCAAAGTGAGTGGCGTTCGGACGACTGCTAGTAGTGGTAGAGCTCACGATTGCCTTGGTTGCAAAGATGCACGCCGAGCAATGTTGGTGTGTCGTGTTATTGCTGGGAGGGTGAAACATGCTACAGATGTTGTGACGACTGAGGAAGATGATGGAGTTGGCTTGTCAAATGGTGGTTCATACGATTCCGTAGCTAGCTATGGCGGGATCTACTCGAATCTTGAGGAATTGTACGTGTTTAATCCAAGGGCCATTTTACCATGCTTTGTGGTGATTTACAAAGCACTTGAATCTTAGTAATATTTTGTGTTGATTAGTTAAATTTGTACTTTTTAGTTGTACTTGTGGAATCAAATCAGATAACTAATCCAGGGTTGGCTAAGTTAGATGCTTGTCCATTTATTTTTTTCTTTGTCTATATATTATTAACATAAACATTTTGTTTTTATTGGGAAGAAAAGAAGATGGTGTGTGTGGTACAACTACTTCAGTTGTAATTAAAATTTTCTTTATTTCTCTCTTTTCTTCCTAATAAATAATTTGAGTTCTTCTTTAGTAAAAGCCTGAAAAGTTCCTGGCATCTCGGTGCCTCCTTTCTTTACTCGTAGGTTTGAGTGCAGTTACATGATCGGGATAATGAGCAAGAACCACATTCATATATAGACGCCTTGATAAGGTTACTTCACTAGTACCCTGAATCTAACAAAAATAAAACAACGTTTGCTTCTACTTAAAAGACTGCTTTTCTCGAAAGTGCGTCAAATTTGAAAAAATTGAATGCTTCCCATCTCATTTAATGCGCAATGAAGTTGAAGGACAGACATTTTCCAGTGCATCAAATTTTTGAATTTTTAGATGAACTTTCAGAATTGGTGGCAGTTGCTCAACTTAAATGAGGATCAAGTGAATTGAAATAACTTCACTGAAATGAGTTATTGCTTGGGACCATCAACAATTGACAACTCACAAATTACTACACCCAATGTCAAGTTACTAAAATAAATTGCAGAGGGGACCTTAGGGCATTTGTGGTTGGTATCATTGTTTATAGTATTGTAAAGTCTACATTATTAAAAAAAAATAAGCCTGACATTTATTAGGGTCAAATAAAATAAATTTACATAATTACGATGTTTGAATGAATTTAAACAAATGTTCTAGGTCTAGGCTATGTGTGCTTAAATATTGCTAATATTTTTTTTAAATAATAAAATATTATTTAATATGAGATATCAGTTAATAAATACAATATATCACTGAATAATTTGCACCTAGAAAAGGATGAAAATGATAATTTAACAATTTCATGACAAAATTCTTGCTGTCTTCCACCTAATCTCGCTTAAATTAATTTCAACTGGGATTCTGTGTGATTTTTGAACATTGAACCGTTGACCGGTTCTTGGGTTTGTTATTTTTCTTTGTTGAGAAAATTCAAAATGAGTTGACACATTAATTTATTGGTGGATTGGAACTCACAAAATCTTTATCCACCAATGAATTAATGTGCCAACTCATCGGTGCTTAGGATAAGATGAGCACCGGTGCTCATTAGATCATT